GTGTGTGTGTGTGTGTGTGTGTGTGTGTGTGTGTGTGTGTGTGTGTGGTGAACGGCGATGATATTGTTTATGACATCTGTCAGGAGTCCCTTGCTGCAACATTTGGGAATGGCATTCCGTCAGCATGTGTTGTTAATATTGGAGCGCAGGTGACTTCAATCGTTTGTGTGGAGGTAAGGAAATCAAGGCTGAGCTTCAAGTCTGTGTTCTGATCTCGCGCTTCTGTCTCTTTTCTCCTTTTGACATGGTGTGTCTTCTTCTCTTTTCAGAAGGGAGTAGTCGCTAACCCTTGTTGTATCTGACAGTATATGAACTGTTGACCTGTTTATCAACAGCTATGTGTGTGCATGATTTGATTCACCCACTGGGGAGGTATACACACAATGTCATCATGAGGGTGTGACAAATTGACAATGCAACAGCCATCTGATGCTGTAACTTTCTATAAACAGGAACCTACTAAAGGTACTGACACTGTGTGAAGATGAAGAAGGCATACAACGCCATCGTGAGGTGTGACAATGCAAAAGCCATGAGAAGACTGTAAAATTGTGTACATCTGTGGGGGGGAAAAAAAACAAACAAACACTAAAGTTACTAATGCAGTGTGTGTATGAAAAAGGCATTTGTGAAGACGAGTTTAAAAGTAAATTTGTGTAAGAGAAGTCACTGAGTCAGATACTGCTTCGCAAGGTTTTAATCTTTTATGTAGTATGTGTAGAATGTGTACGTAGGTTAACGAGATTCCGACTGTCCTTCTCTCCCATCTTGCAAATCATAGCCAAGGAAACTGGTTTGGAAGAATCCACGGGGTAAGAGGACCCTGCTGAACTTTACTTTAGTTCGACTCTGTGTAATGACTTGAGAGCTAGGTTACCAGAGTGGCCCGGGAGGACTTGCCTGGCCGGGCCAAAAAAATATTAAATAAATAAATAAATAAAAATTTATAAATAAATATATTGTACATGCCTCTGACCACTGGGAGCTGTGGGACAATGGCACCATGGTCCATGCCATGACTGATGTCACTGATTTCTTACAAAATGATGCTGTTTTCTTGCCACAACAAACCGTCCCCAATCTCTCTTATGTCGAAGATCATTCCTCTGGCCCCATGCTGCAGCAAAACAATGTACCAACACTGTGCGACCTTCTCTGTCACAATCACTACAATGACATCGTCTCTGTCACAATCACAACTACTGTTACACTCGGTTGTAGATGTCATCGCCTCTGTCACAATCACTACAATGACATGGTTTCTGCATCCATGTGTGCACAGGACTGTCCCTCCGTTCCTGACTGCAGGCACCCTCCGCATCCAGACACTATATGTCCATTTTGCGTCCATGGGCGCTATACTGAATGCACGGTCTTTTGTGGTGTCCATTCTTCCTTCATTTTGGCCTGCAATCGACATGCCATTTGTCGGGGGTGTATGGTGGGCATGCTCAATGCCACCCGTCGTGGCAATTGTTGCACTCAGAATGCTCAGCTAGGTCTTCCATGTGTTCATCCACCTCATCCTTACAATGTATGCCCTCTCTGTCGTCAAGGGCAGACTCATTCTTGAGCCTCCACACTACGTACTTTCACTTACTTCCCCTTACTTCCCCTTACTTTCCCTTTACCGTTCTTTGTTCGTCTGCTCTCCATCTCTCCTCCCTGCGTTTATCCCCTCCCCCTTCACTGTGTTTAATTCATAGTTATGTGACAATATATGAGTCGGTGAAACTCCGACGAAACAGTTTGTCAGAGCCCCTCATTTGTTGTCCTCTTCTCCCTCCCTCTCTGTCTACGGTTGACCGGGCAGCTCTGTTTGACTATATATATATATATCAGGGCTGGGCCGGGAACCGGCCGGTTGATTCA